CACCCAGCAAGTAATTTAGATAGAGCCAGATGCCTCACGTCCCTAGGAAGCATGTTGCTAAATCTGTATGTATCATAACTTATGTCTCAGTGCCGAAGCTAAAGAAACTTCAGCAGCCCACAGGCTGCAGGAGATATCATTTCGCAAGCTAACAAATCCAAAGGCTTAGAGGCAATTGCTCTTGTGAGCTATTCAAAACAGCTCTTGCACTTCCTTCCAAGTTTCTGACTTAGTTCTCTTTTTCTGAGGAACTTTAATTAGTTTGGTTTTAAGTCATACTTTATAGTGTAGTGCTGCTTTTCCAGGCAGCAGAGGCATTTTTAAAGTGTTTTGCAAGTCTTTGCAGATTTTAGGTTATTTATGATACTGTTTGACAGTATTTATGCAGTTGTGGTCTCTATCCTACTTCCAGTGAAGTCAACAGGTGTTTTCTTAGTTACTTTAATGGGATCAAGTCTGGGTTATGAATCAGTCAGTCTTAGGCATGTTCCCTCCAGTAGTGCTCCCATCAGTGGGTGGACAGTATTCATTGCAATGCTGAACATAATAATGACTTCAGATAGTGGGTGGGAAAGGTTAATGATTATTCCCCAAAGAGATCTGCTACAAAAGGGTTAAGGCAAACGTCTTTAGGTGAAGTAACATAATAGTGATCATGTATTGAAAGCCTGTGGTAATGAATGATTTCAGAAGGAGGGTTCCTTCATTGAGGATATCCTGATGTTTATTTACCTCTTTTTTGTTATAAATACAAAGAGCTGAGATTTTTCAAAGGCATAAGTGGCAGTTGGGCACCCAACTCCTAATAAAAGTTAATGGGAATAAGAGACTCTTGAAAACTTCCCTCAAAAGTGGAGGAACATTCCTGTGTTCAAACTCTCACCATTAATAAGCCCTTATCACTTTCTGCCTTAATACCTTAATGCCACGAACTAGGGAAGCCAAGCATCAATTCCTGTGTAATGGGCTAACTGCAGAGGCAGCAGAAAGGATCAAGCATGGTAGAACATTGTTGGTTCAGCAAAGATCCCTCTAGTGTAGATTCACACTCAGTTTCCTTTCCCAGGGAGTTCTGATATTTTAATTGTGTTTTTTCTTTCCAAAGGGCAAGGAAAATGTCAATTTCTTATGAAATAGCATCTCTGAAAGACAGCATTTTGGATCAATCAAAATGTTTCATTTAGAGTTCAACAATATCCTAATTCTTAATGTTTTAGTATTATTAAAGTTGCTTTCGTATTTGATATTAGAAAGTAGTAATATGTATTGTACTACGATTCCTAATTGGTTTGGTAAGTATATCTTAATTGGTAGTTGGTTGGGTTTTGGGACTTGTTTTGATCAGTTGGCATTTTTATTGATTGTTTGTAATTGTTGTTCTAATGGATAATTGATTTAAAATAAATAAGCTATTAAACATAGAGGTAATTTTAGAGGCAATTTGAAATGAAACACCTTTTAAAAAAATAATTTCAGTGTTTTACTCTGAGTTAGAGGAAAGTGACTTTACCATTGTGTCTCAACACCTGTGTGATCTGTGGGAGATGTCTTGTGTATTTGTAAATTAATTAGACATCTTATCAATATGCAATTGTTCTTAATATGTAGTCTGAACCTCATGCTCTCCATTTAAACACCAAAACACAATATATTGCCAAATGATGCAAGGTCAAATTTGGCTATGACTATATGTTCTAAACTTCTAAAAACGGGAGAGAGAACTATTTTTCCATGACCTATAATAGGAGTGACTATGGACAGGAGCGAACTCCTGGAGAAAGCTCATGGATTCCCACCTGTAGATCTCTAAGAATATAAAAACATGGATTTTGTGTATTCATCTTTCTTTGTGATGGGAAATTTTTGTGTCCACTACTTATTCAGGAAATTAGTCCTATTTAGAACAGTCTTGAGTATATTAAAAAAATACAGTTGATTTATTATGGCTAAAACCCATTGTTAAAGGATGTGTCACAGCATTGCTTTGGTAGACATAACTAATTATGGCATGGGTACAAGCCTAATTTCAGCAGCACAAAGCTTAATATGGGCTGCATGCTTGAGTATTTACTCGGCTTCTGAGGCGAGGCTTATAATAGACCATAATAGGATAGAGGTGGTTGCAGTGCATTCATTGCAGAATTGTATTTTAAGAGGTGCTTTGAAGAAGTGTGTGTGGGGTCATTTAGTACACTAAGATGTAAGGGTGAGCCTCTGAGGAAGGAGCAAAGCTGTGTTGCAGAGGGTATGAAGAAAGGAGTTGGATGCAGAAGGCAAACTTGGGCAGAGCATATGCATCATGAGTGGGAGTAAGAGGAAATGACAGCACAAATGTAAGCAGAAGCAAGGCTCTGCAGGAAGTTTTAAAATAAAGATCAAAAGCTTAAACTTGGCCTTTTTTGAACAATTAATTTTGGTGTAGTCTCCCTAGATTTGCCTTTCTTGGTTCCAAGGCATTTTTCCTCTTTCCAGATTATAATTTGATATCACAATTTAATCTGGAGTGGGTGGAAATGGAACCATTTTTGAGACTCTGGATTCAGTATCTGACTGTCGTACTAAAAGACACAATTTGTTCAATGGGCTTATAGGGCCAGGGGGCAGATGAGAAGCTTGAATGGCTATGGATGCAATAGGATGTGCAAGTAGGAATAGAGAAGCTCCCTAGGGAACCATTGGCATAAGTTCTATATTGAAATCTGAGCTGAATGTGGAACTAGTGCCTAAATCATACATCCATTAAGTGAAAAAATGGCTTAAAGGTTATCAGTTTAGATGCATGCTCTTCCTAACTCCCAAAATTTTGTCACAGCAAAGGTGGAGGAGGCATGAAGTGAAGGCAGGGCATGAAGTGAATGTGGTTTTTTGCTATGCTATTGATGTTTCTTTCAGAATGGCTGCTGGACTCGTGTGTTCTTGCTTCTTGGGCTATTTCACCATTTCTCTTGTTCTTACTGTGCACGATAAGCAGTCTACATGATGTTTTGATCCTTATCGTGTACACACACTCTCCTCTCTTATTTTAGCACCTTGCACTTGACATTTATTGCTTTTGTGATCTTTTACAGATAGACATTCAGAGTATGCTTCAGTAGATTTGCCTAAGATAGTGCTAAACAGGTGCATGGGTCTCCCATGGGGAAATGTATGATGCAATCTGAACTGTTGCCATATCCCACAGTTTTTTTTTTTTTAATTTAGTTTTGTGACATACACTCATACTTTGCTAGCAACGTACTTGGTTGTAGTGTAGCAGACATCTAGCTTCAGTGCTTGTTTTTTTTAACAGAAAGTTCACTTTTCAGAGTATCAGTGAAACTTAAAAAAATAAAAATCCATGTCCCTTTTCCTTTCCCCCTCCTTTTTATCTCCTCCCCCCTCAAAAAACTCCAAACTTTCCATGTGCTTCAAAGTTACTTGCTGGAATTAATCCAAATCCCATTGAAATGAATGGACTTTTTTTTCTGCTGACCTCACTGGGCTTTGGATCAAGTGGTAGACATCAGGAAAAATTTCCCGTATGACATAGTTTTACCATTTAAGTTCATTCTCCTCCGTGCTGCAGGCCTATCCCTGACCTGAGTTAACATACAATTGAAAAAAAGTTATACTAAAATCACTGGAACTTTTTTTGGTCTTGTATTGATTCTTGTCTTAAAAGCTACAAAGCTTCCTGAAATCAATTATTCTACACTTCTAATTTGCAGCCATTATAGGAGCCTGCCTCTTACACTGTTGACCTTGAAATTGTTTTAGTTCAAAAGCATTTTCAGATTCTACTAGTTAATCAGTGTCCTTTTTAAATTTTTAAACATAAGAATATATTGCCTGATAGACATGACTATGGAGCCAAGCAAGCGCAGAATGTTTTTCTTGTTACTCAATATCCTGTTAGCATGGTATTATGAGTACAGTTCAGTGTTTGTTGTTTACTGAGGAAAAGACTCACGAGAAATCTGACTGTGTGCTTCATTAGTGTTCATCTGAAGCCTGATCCAAAGTCCATTGAAATGTATGGGAGTCTTTCCTCTCACATCAGTGGGCTTCAGTTCTGATTTCAGGTCAGCTGTATCCAGAGTGTGACAAAAGAATTAAATAATCAGGACTTGCCTTTATGAGAAGGCTATATAATACTGTGGCACAAGCTAAGACAAAAGTTTACTCTCATTCTGCAGTTGTTTTAAAAAAAGAGAGGCCATGTTTAACATCATGTCAGCTGGGTAAACCTAACTGGAACAAGGGCCCATGTTTAGCTGATATCAATGAAACACAAGCATTTGTAATGACCACTGATTTACTAGTTATTGCAATTTCTTAAGTACATGTTCAAACTGGATGAAATTTTCTACTGAAAACAAGCTCTTGGGTTCATGGCATAGGATCTAATCCAAATCCTGTAAAGTCAATGGGAAGTTTCCAACATGTTCTATAGATTTTTTTTGTCACAATGGGCCGAAGTCTGATACTCTTTGCCCAACCTGAGTAATATTTTACTACTGGAAATCAATACGATTATTTGGCAAATAAGGAAAAAAAAATTTACCTAACATAAGGATGACAGGATCTGGCCCTAAATGTTTTGATTTCAGTGAGCAGTTTTGTGTACTGCTTGACATAAGGATTGTAGGTATCAGCCATACTAATTCCTGTGTTTAAGTGCAGTATAAAGTAGACTAGCAAAATGTCTGTCAAGAATGCCCCACCCTCCCCTCCCCACCAGTTCGGGTCCAATCTTGCTCCCTCTCCTCCCTCCACCCCCCCACTTCTGGTCAGCCCCCTCCCTCCCCTTTGGGTCCAACCCCTCCCCCTTGGTTCCGGTCTGACCCCACTTCACCCTCTTCCCTGGTTCAGGTCTGACCTCACTCCACCCCGTACCCCCCCCCTTTGGGTCTGACCCTGCCCCCCCCAGCCCCTGATTTGGGTCCGATGTCCACTCCCGGCCCGCACAGCCAATCGGCACGTGTAGTTGGGCAAAAGCATTACAGACACATAGACACACAGAAAGACTAAGCCTTTTATTATATTAGAATAATGAGACACATGATATAATGCATCTAGAACTACATTTATTTTATAAATAATTATTACTAATTGCATCCATTTCAGGCTAAAGGAGAATCTCTACGGTACATGGTGCAATTCAGTAGGAGGAAAATTCTTTGTGTAGGTAGATATGTAAAATCAGCCATAACTAATGTTTGCATTTAAACTACCCAAAATGATGAACAAATTGGGAATCTGGAAAATATGAAGTCTTGGACCTGAAGGCTGTGATTCTCAGTATGCCATTACAAATGTATTTGGTCTAAAGTTTGGAGTTATTTGTAAAATCACTGGAATCAATCCATTTCATTTGCCCAAAACAAGAGAGAAATGCTTTAATTTCAAGCAAACAGAAATATTATTACTTAACTATTAATTTTAATACATTAAGCATCGGGATAAACAGATTTCATACAACACCCCAACTGGTACAGAACATTTTATATCAGAAAAGAAATAAGACACCCACTAAAAAGCTGCCTGTGTCAAATAATCACTTATTTTGCTGTTGTTAACTTGCCCCTATATAAATCATGGGGGCATGGTAAGCAACAGGAAACCATTTCAATCCACCAAATGCTTGTGAAACCTTGTAGAATTGTATTATATTAAAAATCTGTGTAAGGCTACATGTTTTGGACTTAGTGTTTCTCTCACATACACACAGAACAAGAAAACCAAAATCATCTTGTCCTATCAGGAGAGGAATGCATCTTACACTGCTATGGACACATCAGTGGCTTTGTAGTTCAGGTGGATTTCAGGTTTGATGTCATATACCATGTTCAAAAGTTTTTTCATCATGCTTTCCATCTCTTTGTGATAGTTACTGGTGACAGCTTGGATTTTTTCTGTTGTTTGGTCTTCGATTTTAGTGGAGAGGTTACCCTGGGAGCCCATTATCTACAAAGGCAAAACAAGAGAGAACTTCTTAGCAAGAGAGAACCTCTGAGCAAAATAAATAAAGGCTTACATCATAGCCATGTTTATTGTAGCTGACGCAACCTCTAAGAATGTGTATCTGTGTTCCAACAGAAACATTATGCAAACCTTCCAGAATGCTCTCAAAGAGTAATAGTTTAACTTAGATTGAACCATGTGAATAATCAACAGGATTAATGGGAATTCTTTTGAACACTTGTTAGTTGTAAGCCTCCCACTGTAATGCCAATTTCCAGTGTTACTCCAGCATATAGCAATTGATTCTACTATAGGAGAGTTTCTCTTTTTGAATATTTTCCTTATATTGATTAATTCATGAAGTGGTATAGAGTAGTTCTATCACTAATTAGTTTGCTTTAACTTCTCTGAGGTAATCTAAATGTGGTCATTGGGTTATATACACTTCTAAAGAAAGAAAGAAATGAGGAGCTCATAAATTACTGACAATATCCTCAGCAGTTAGAAATACATAACCATCCATGGGTCTCATATAAGGCGTTTTAAGCCAGCTACATACATTATACTTTTACCAGTATAAGTTATTAGAAACTGGTCTATACCCACAACAGAAAAGTTTGGCACCCAAAACCAGTCTATACCCATAAAAAACAGAAGTTCAGCACACAGATTGGTTTAAAAATGGTGGAGCCCAATCTAAGATTTGTGCCACCCTGCCCCCAACCAAAGGGCGAATGTATGTTCTGTTTGCTATGCTGCTTACAGACTATGCCACTTATGAAAGCCATGAAACTTAAATAGATTCTGCTTTGGGCTTTTTGAATGTCTGTACATGTCAAATTTTCTTGCCTGGCCAGGCAATACCAGGCAGCTTCTGGCACAGTAATTCTCAGGACATTCACTTAAAATTTAATTGAATCTTCCTTTCTCTCTAGAATAGTTAAACATTTTAGCAAGGCTATGTTATAAACAGATGCATGCTGTGACTTCACCTTACTACTGCCCCAGCTGCCTTTGAGTACTTCTCTGTGATAAAGTTATTTAATTAAAAAATTAATAGAATTTTTGAGGATGCCTCAGAAAATTGGAGGATTTTCCCTCGGGTCTTAGAAAGCACCAAGTGGTTGACATATATTAAATTTTGGATGACTTTTCAATCAACGTAGGTTAGCTACCCACATCTTTATCACCTTCTCAGTATGATGAAGATACAATATATAATATGGGTAGGTACTGTGCTTCAGTGCACCGTAGTCCTGACAAGCCAAGCCCCCATTGTTTCAGTTGAGTGAGTCTCTTGCGTAGAAGTAAAAAAAATTGAACCATGGTTAAATTACCAGTATATGGGAGGGTGGAGGTCACCAAATTACTTTTTCTTGCATCTTCAGCCCAATTTTAGCCTTTAAAGAATACAAGTGAATTTAGATCTTTCTTTGTAAGGAAGTCATTTGAAACGACATTCACCTGCAGTTGGCATCAAGTAAGGAATTGGTACATAATATGGATTTATTTTTTGTCCTGGTTTGGAGGTAAGAAGGACATCTTCCCCTGTTTAAATTTTTATTTGGACTAATTATTTTTAGGCCAATATTTAATGAGCATCATCTATATCTTAACTTGAGCCAAATTTTGAGGATTGTCTAGCCACTGTATGATCCCTACCTACATGGGAAACTGTCTTCGTGGAGATAATTTTCTACAATTTTATGGTGCCAATATATTCTTCCCCTAGTCTGCCTCAAGAAAAACACTCAAGAAATGTATTATTTCATTAAGCAGAGTCATATTTGCACTAGGAACTCTACCCTTTGATTCACACTACTGAAAAAAAATATACTCATTTAAGTTAATGAATGATTGGGGTTGTGCAGGTGCTAAGGTGTATGGCTGACAGCCCAGAGGTTGCAAGTTCAAGGCCTTAGCAGAAGTGCTTACAGGGTGATCCTGTTGGATTCCAATGAAGCTACAAATTCTGCTACATAATAGACCTGTGCGAAGCGGCTAGTATCTGCTTTCGATATGGCCGATTCAGAGACAGCGCTTCAATTTGGTGATTTGAATCAATTTGGTCGAATCTGATTTGGAGATTCAGCTGCTGAATCTCTGAATCATCCAGACCAGGCCCATTCCGTTTGCTTTCCCAGCCCGGCAATGGCTGCCCCACCTGCCCCAGCTCCTGGCACTTTGGAAAAGATAGCACTGACTCAGTGGGTGCTGCCAGGTGTGGGGAAATCCCCACTGCCCCCTACTGCCCTGTGCTGCATGGGGGGCATGCACAAGCCCCGCAAGGCTGCTGCAGGAGCAGTGAGTCCTGGAGTTTTTCCGGTTTTTGTTTTTTTTTCCTTTAAGGGCTGGAGCTGGGTCGGGTGGGGCAGCTGTGGAGGGGCTGGAAGAGCAAGGTGGGGGGTTGCAGGGCTTGTGCAGAGCCCCTCATGCAGTGTGGGGCAGCAGGGATGCCCCCCCCCCCCAGCAGCACCCACTGAGTCGGGGCTTTTTCTAAACCACCGGGAGCTGGGCAGGGGCAGTCATAGAGGGGGCTGGGGGAGCAGGCAAGGGATGGGGGGAGGCTGGCAGGGGTCTCCCCATGATCCCCTCTCCCCTCCTCCATCCCCTACTTACCAGCTCTGAGTCCAGCTCCAGCTCTCTGCTGCAGCCAATGGGGACTGCCCAAATCATAGAAGCTGTCCAAATCTTTGGAAAAGATTTGAGGAGCTTCAAATTGATTCAGACCTTTTTATTGGTCCCGATTCGATTCAGATTTGGAGACTCAGCCACCGAATTGGGCTGCATCTCCTCCAAATTGAATCAGCACCCAAAGCTTCGCACAGCCCTACTACATAACTATCACAAGGACACAAAAAAGGAAAGGGAGAACGGATGATTACATTTTAATTGAATTTCTTCATGTTCTCTTTTTTACTACTGAGTTTAAAAATCTTCATCTGCGGAACATCACACAATGCTGTACTTGATCTATGTTCTGTTTTCCCTTTTTCCTAATTTTACATCTTGTGTAAGTGGGATCCCAGTCAAGCCTTCTCTCTCCACAGATGGGTGCTATACATTAATGCCATTGTGTACTCCATTCATTCTAGTCAGCATTAACAGGCTAAATTATATACTCTTATACATCCCATCTTTTATGCCTAAATGACATTTAATAAAGTTCTTAGAGGTTCTAATATAGTTGTTGAAAGCATTGGTTCCATTATTTAACAGTAGTAGTAGTAGGCATATGTCTGTCTCCTGTCTCCTGACATGATAGAATTAGGCTTGCTGAACATAATCCTTGCTCAAAAGGTAAAGTGAAACTGCAATAACCTCTCCAGGGTGCAAATGCCTGGGCATTGTATATAGAGACACTGAGATGCCCACACACCAATGAGCCCCTGTCAGCCTTGCTGGTTAATCCAAAGGAAAGGCAGAAAGTCCTAAGCTAAAATATTCAGGAATGGTTTTCACATGCTCCTGGAGTTCAGGTATTTTAGAACTTGATTATTTGGCTTAAGTCCATTATAAAGACAGGAAACTTTGAATCTGCAAACTTTGGATCCTGATCTGGGTTTAAACTTTGAATATTGCCAGGATGGATCTCACTAACTCTAATAGCTCTTTTCAGTACTCTTTGCCCTTCTTGCTGCTGCCAATCATTATGGACCTATTAGTGTGGTTTGGGGTGTGTGTCGGCATGGAATAGAAGCCCAATCTCACTATAACAAAATACATTCAGGATGTTAAAAGATGCTCAAAGGTAACATTATGTATGACTCTGTAAATAATGTGGAATTATGAATGTTTTCATATGAATATTGACCTAGCACGTGGAACTAGTTATCAGTGTTCTGGCCCTGACCTGGCCTAGCCTCTCGATTTCCCTCCAGGCTTAGGTTAATAATGATGACATTTGTCTGGGATAGATAAATGTCCGACATAATGGGGTCAGGGAAAGTGAAGGAGAACTGTACTGACTGCTTACAACATGTTGTCATTGAAGAACCAGTTTTCAGTTTGGCCCTTTGTGTAAAGTGTTCATCAACAAAGTAGCTCAAGGTGCTAATTATGGGTATGGTGAGAAGATTGTGTTCAGCCTCATGTAGAGGGCATATTTTTTTTCTCTTTTGGCAGTTCAGATTTAAATCAAGGGCTCCCCCTTTCTGCTTGATTGAAAAGGTAAACACATTTTAAAGGTATTTGTTTTTATTTTGTTAGTAAAAATCTGAACTAGTATGTGCAGTTTTGCCTGGCCTACTGTGACATCATCTCTTGGAGCTGACAGTGTAGATTAGTGACTTTGTATTTATATCTGTACCTAGGGGTTATGATATCTGTTTAAAAATCATGTTGTATATGGATTGTGGCTGAAATGACAAGCTGGTAAAGCTTTTTTCTTTCTTTATGACTTCTACCATTTTATTTCCCTTTTTTTGACAGGTGTAATTTTGTACAAAACAGGCAAAAAAAATGAAAAGGAAAGTCAAGAAGGAAAACAAGCAGTTTGTGACAATCCTTCATGAAAACAGTAGGGAGAATTGCCAAAGGAAAGTAAAATGTAAAAAAAAAAAAAAAAAAGTCACTAAAATTCAGGAGAATAAAACCTCAGTCCAATGATTCATTTTTACCATGAGAATGTAATTTTAAAAAAGTCAGAGTTTTGAACACAAGCACCTATCAGAAGATGTTTCTGTGTGTGGAGTTGGAAAATAAGTTGATAAAAATTCCTCTGTGACGGCCTCATCATGAGCCTAATGACGGTTTTGAAAAAACTCCAACACTTTGAATATTAGACAGAAAGCAACATTTGATTTATTTCAACTTCTAATTTGAATCTAGGAACAGAAGATCTACTTGGTAGTAACAGTGCTGGATACTGTCCAACCTATCCACATCCTTCTAGAAGTGTGAGGCCCAAAACTGGACACAGTACTTTAGGTGAGGCCTCATCAGTGATGAACAGTGTGGAAGAATCACTTCCCTTAATTTGCAAGAGATATCCCAGTTAATAAAATAGTATGTTGTTGAGTTCCATGGACATTCAGTCAGGCCACTAGTTTAATTATAGATATAAGCGTCTTACTTACATTAGATTGTTTGTGCCTGAATTCCTTTTCTCTCTGTAACCGGTAGTGGTCTATCTCTGCTGTGGCTTCTTCTTTGGCTTGCCTCAATCTCTTTCCCTTTCCTGAACAGAAAATAGAGATATTAAATTCAGGTTGAAATTCTTTGTGACAACACACATGACCATCTTCTATCACAGCTTCATGTTTAAATACAATCTTTTAAATAAAATCGTTTAAATAAAATCTTTTTTCATTGGTCGTAGTAGCCAGCAGATAACAGATACAGAGGTGGGTGATTCAGTAAGAAAGAATATCAAAGCAGGTATATTGTACAAATGTGTGGTAAACATGAAAGCAATCATAAGATCAGGATTTTTTGTTTTTAGTATAGATAGCTGTGTCTTTACTGAATAACTACACAATGGAGAATGAGTAAAATGTGTAGGATTCCCAGTGAAGTCAATGTAAGTTTTTATTAGGAAAGGTTCTTTAGCAATGCCTAAGTAAATTGGGATCAAGGAGAGCCAAGGAGACTTAGGTTTCCAAGTCACTAAAGTGCTCAGTCTCTAGTGCTTTTACTAGAAGTACACATCAATAACAAAAAAGTTTGCAGGTTTGCTAACAGAATGGAAGGAACAGCAAACCAGTTCTTTATCACAACATGTATGACAATTTTCTATCTCACTTTCTTGTTTAAATGAAGTATCTTTTTTGATTGGTAGTAGTAGCCACCAGATAACAGATTTTAGTTGTCACTGATTGGAAAAGACATTATTCTGTAAGATTTGCTATATTGATTTGCTGCCAGGAACACTTCAGCCCACACCAACTGGATTTTATTTAACTCTGGCAGATGTCCAGGGTACTACACAAAGATATGCCTAACCCTTAGCGAACTGAACTGCAACATCTATATTTTATTGTCTCCATTACGTTTTTTTTTGGTCAAATGCAGAGATGGGTGATTAAGAAAGAAAGACTATCAAAGCAGGTATTGTGCACTAATGTGTGGTAAACGTGAAAAAAAATTGTAAGACCAGGATTTTTTTTTTTAATACAAAAGTTATTCTGTTAAGTGACCTTTAAGCTGTAACAAAAAGAAAAGCCCTCGTACTGAAAAATCTTATGCACATGCTTAACTTTACATATTATGAATTTCACTTTGACTTATGCAAGCTGCAAGTAGTCTTATTTATGTGTAAGTCTTTGAAGCAGTTGATACTATCTACAGTATCTCCCAGGTTTGGCAAAAATACATTTAAAAAGAGAGGGAAAGAAATGTAGAAACACAGCGCTTACGTTGTTGTCATGTGAAACAAGTGCTGAACTTGTAATTGCTGAATTGTGATGCTTATGTACCTATTTGTTTTATAGGACGTTGGTGAAATCCCACAGAGCCTCACAAAGGTTTTGTTTTTTATATTGGATCTTATTAGTCCAGGAAAATCTATGATGTTGATTAATTAATGAGATGACAGTATTACTAGAGCTAAGATATTGGAAGCTGGCAACTGAAAAGAGGATTCTTTAGTGTGACTGTTTAAATTTTTTTTGGCTTGTTTTTATTAACACCTACTTGACTTCAATTGTTTATGAATACTTTGGAAAAAAGACATTTTTGTTAAAATGTGCACATGCATGCCTTTGATGAATGTGTTGGAATGAAAAGTGTACCTTTTCCGAAGTCCCCAGCGAGGGTCTCTAACAAAATCAGAAAGATGAGTGTTGACAGTTTTGGTATTCCTCAAAACCAAGTGCCCCACCCCCCCACCTCAAAATGCAACCCATCCACTCCAAATCCTAAATACTTGAGTCTTTCTTTATGTACTTTAAAGAGGAAAGCAAGCAAGCAAGAAATTCCACTTCTTCATTATTCTGTTTTTTCTGCTGAAGGATGTGCTATGTTTTGAGTCTAGCATACAGAAATTTGTCTTCATGTAGCCTCAAGTACTATTTCTCAGAAAAAGTCTGCTAGAGCCACAGTTGCTGATTCTGATGTCTGTTATACCTGTACAAATGAGAAGTAAATCTGTTAAATTAATAGACTTAAACTGGTAGAAGAGTGAAAGGAATTAGGTCCTAACTATCTATATTTGGTACATGATTTGATTTGAACAACAGAGTTGAGGCAATTGTTCATTTCTTTTTTTTTTCTTGGTGCACTACATTGGATTGGTTTCAGTTATACTGCACATGTGAAAGCATATCAGATGTGACATATAGCAATGTAAGTCTCCTGGGCATGGCACAACAGTGAAACTGAAGCTTGGAAAAAACAGTGCTTTGACTAGATCTGTGATTCAAGAAAATCTTTGCCAAAATGACTGATTCAGTGGTAAATTATCAGTTCAATGGGCAGGCCAGTCCCAAGTCAGGACCTTCATTTCTGGGAGTAGATTTAGTAACAGAGACACTAAATTCCTTTTAGCATCTTATTCTGATTTATAGGCCACTTGACCCACTGGAGTATGCTTATTGTGGAATTCATGGAGGGATCAGGTGTGATTATATTAAAGCCTTTCTACAGCAGGAACTGTTGTGCAACCTTGTGGATTTACTGTATATTTTTATTTTCTAGGATGCTTTCTTGGATACTTAATTATACCTCTCAGAGTCCACGTGTCATCAAAGATCATTGGCAATGTGTATAGAATTGCAGGCAGACCATTTAAAAATGTTTTCCCTGTTTCAAACCAAAATACAAATCCTTTCTTAAAATGTATCTTTACTGAATTAGATTATATTTATTGAATTATGAACCAGCAGTGTGACATTGTTGCAAGGACGGCTAATGACATACTAGGCTGCATTGGTAGGAGCATTGCCATCAGATCAAGGGAAGGGATTATTCCTCTCTATTCAACACTGGTGCCGCCACATCTGGAGTACTTTGTCCAGTTTTGGGCCCCCCACTACAGAAAGGATGTGGACAAATTGGAGAGAATCCAGTGGAAGGTAACAAACTGGTTAGGGGGATAGGGGACATGACTTCTGAAGAGAAGCTGAGGGAACTACCTGAAGGTAGTTGAAGGGTGGTACCAAAGAGAATGGAGCTAGACTATTCTCAGTGGTGGCAGATGACAGAACAAGGAACAATGATCTCAAGTGGCAGCAAGGGAAGTTTAGGTTAGATATTAGGAAAAACTGTCTCACTAGGAGGGTAGTAAAACACCAGAAGAGGTTACCCAGAAAGGTTGTGGAATCTCTGTCATTGGAAGTTTTTACGACCCAACTAGATAAAGCCTTGGCTGGGATGATATAGTTGAAGATGTCCTGCTTTGAGCAGGGGATTGGACTAGGTGGCCTCCTGAGGTTCCTTCCAGTCCTCATTTTCTATGATTCTACCTCACTGTGCAAGTGGTCTGTCACTGGTTCATATTTCCAGAAGCTGTAAGTGAAAAACGATGCATTCATGTAAAGGCTTGACACCAGCCTGAGCAACAGAAGTTAGAGTTGTGTCAGCATTTTCAAATCCTACCCAGTAAATGTGGACGTGTTGATTTTGGGTTTCAAGTTCAAACTTTTCAGCAGAGATTCTTTAAGAATGAAATCAATGTGCCAGATTCTTATTGGATGTAAATCAAGAGAGCTACAACTGATTTAGATGGAGCTCTGCCAGATTATACCAGTCAAAAAACTGGATGAGGATCTGGGTTTCAGCTGGATAATGAAGTAAACTCCCTTAAGTCTAGGGGATTTCATTTTTATATTCGAGCTAGGCCCATCTGTAATAAATGTATGAAAAATGTTGTCACTAAATAAATCAATACAAACATATAGGCTAGGGACAGAAATGACACACAAACCAGTATAAGTGATTGAAAACTGGTTCAAATCTGTAAAACAACAGAAGTTCAGTGTACATAAGCTGCTTTCAAAATGGTAAAACCAGGCTAAGATCAACCTGGATTTGTACCTCTCCTGCCGCTCCCCCGCATTTGCAGGGTGGGCAGGCTAGTCTTGGCCTAAGCTGTCTGCTCCAGGTGAGCAGGGAGGCATGCTTTACTACCCCCCAGCTTCTTGCATGGATCAATGCAGGTGTTTGGCTGCATTTCCAAAATAAAAAGTGAATGTCTGTTCACTTGCTAATTAACTCAGTCTATGCAACTTAGATTAACCTATGAAGACTGAAACGATTCAGCCTCAGGCTTGTACTTAGTCATAAAATACATAAAATAGACTAAGAGAAGTGGCAAGATTTGGTTTTTCTGTCTTCAACTAAAACAGATGAAGCAAAAAAAAAAAAAAATACTGTCCATGGTAGTGGGGCCCAACCTTTTTTTGGCACGTGCCACAAATTAGCCCTGCACACTCCCTAAGTGTCACTCTGGTCCCTTACCCGTACCTGATCTTCTGCTTGGCTTTCTGCTTCCTTTCCTGTGCTCTCTGTGTGATCTAATGCTTTACTGTCTGCTCCCTGCCCTATCTGCCACTGTGATACCTGTCCCCTCCCCAGTATGTCACATATCACATATAGAGGCTGCCTAAACCTCTGATCTACTGGATGTTGTAGCAGTTAACGTGTGTAAAAAAAACACTCTGTAGAGTGTCATGGACTGGATATGAAAATGGCAGCCATTTAATTTGTCCATGATGCTTTGCTATTTGCAAACTGGTAACCTAGTGTTTCCTATTTAATTAAATGCAATAAATGCTAGGGCAAGAGCACTGTGGACAGAATCCGTGATTGCCAGCATATGTGATATATGCTGCACCTGATTATGGTGAACAGAAACTAGATCTAAACCTGCTATTTTACTAGAAGCAACCCAAAGGTAATTTTTTAAACCCCTTGTCTATTACTGTGTCTGCACAACGAGGCCTGGCTTATTCTGAATTGTGTTACATGGGTCTTCCTTAGCTGGTGTATATCCATTTAGCTCCACTGAGGTCCATCAATCGGCCCCTGTCTTTGCTGGAAGCATGGAATGAAAATTTATCTAAGACCACTCTGATGAGGAGGTTAGAAACTATATGGAGGCCAGTGAGGCAGAGTGAGGTTTGATCTATTTATTTCAGGAAGGGGAAAAATATACCAGTAGTTTACAGGTGTAATTATTCCAAGAGGAAAGTTTTACAACACCCTCCCCCCACTACTACCAGGTATTGTAGCAGCAACAAC